AGCAGTAGTAGTAGTAGTAGTAGTAGTAGTAGTAAGCGTCTTGGCCCAGACGACGAGCATCTTTGGTGGTAGATTTTTCCTTTGATGCTTCGGTGCTGATCTGCTGTGCTGGAGTTGCTGCAGCGGTGTGCGTCTGCATACGGGACCCTCGGGTCGGGACGCATGCCCGGCTCCTTGGCCTCAAGTGAGACAGAAGAATCTTACGGACCAAGCAGCTCCATCACGCGCTCGGAGGATGAAACAGATAATGCGGACAGCTCTGCTTCTGGTGGTGATGCTAACATGGCACTGCGCAGTGATGATGAAGTTTTTCAGGCTTCAGACGGAGAGGCCGCTATGGCACCAGAGCTCAGCTGCCGCTCGCCTCTGTCACGGACCACAGCTCTCTCGGAACGGGAGCACCACTTCCAGCTCAAGCGGCAATCCTTTGTTGAAGAGCTCCTCAAAGGCCTTTGCTGGAAACAGCTGGAGCGGGAGCTCAAGGAGAAATTTCCGATCAAGCAGGCCTCGGCTCAGCTTCGCGAGTACCGCAAGGGCCATGGCAGGGATCCATCGAGAACTTTGCTGTACAATGTTTCGGAGTATTTATCTCCGGAGCGACGCGGAGACCTGGAGCATATGTCTGCGGCGCTCAGATGCATGCTGGTGGAAGACATGCTGGCCAATGACTTGGAATGGCTGGAGCGATTGCCTGAGGGGCCCATGCCGGATCGCCTGGTGGCCATGCAGTTCTTCCAACGAGCGATCTATGCCTCGTTATTGGAGCAGGCAGGGGCGGCCGATGCGGCGATGGTGGCTCATTTGTCGGTGGAGTTGGCGTCCAACACCTTCTATAGGCCGGCGATGCGGCTGCTCTGGCCGCTCCTTTCAAGCCAGCAGCAGCTGGCAGTGCAGCAGTGGTTCTTCCGTTTCAGTGCGCACATGGACGAGCAGCCTCGACCTGAGCCGGCCTCGTCCTCTTCGGGGCCCAGAGCCTGACAGGCCTCTGTGTGCCGGCAAACGCTGGCGCAGGTGGCGATTTAGGCGGCCGCCAACCAGGCCACGACCCCGGCGGCGAAAGCGACATCGGCCAGGCCCTGCTCTTCTTCCTGCTGTTCCAGCTGTACCAGGACTGCTGCGTTTTCTGAGTTTTCTGCTGGTGAGCGGCAGCTGCTGCGAGTACTTGTACAGTTCACTTACTCGAGTAGTCGTAGGCTGTCTGCTGTACTGGCCTCGCACCCCTGCCCCTAGCATCTCCTATAAACCTACCCGCCGTGTACACAGCAAAGGCCACCCTGGTCCCAAGTCCAGGGATACCTTCCGTGGTTTGCGCACAGCCTGGGCGCTGTCAGGGCTTGTTCTATTACATCTGCTATCTGTAGCCGGTGCAAGCCCGGAGGGTATAGACGTGAGGGTTGGGGGCCATCCACACCAGGAACCCCCTGGAGCTTCAGATTCTGCGCTCCATCGCGTTACCGCAAACGCGAACAGTAACGGTGTTTTACAAGCTCCACCTAGACAGCCCAAACCCGTCAGGAAACGAGCTTTTATACGTGCACAGAATCGAGCCATGAACCTAGGATACACCAAGTTTAAAGGTCGCTGGTGGAGTGCTTCCCAGCTGGGCTGTGAGATGCGACTGCCTCGACCACCACGCCATTCGAGAGATGCACAGCCCAGCTCGCGCATTCATTTTATGTCATGGAATGCAGGAAGCCTCTCGAGCGAGCGGAATCTGGAGCTCAACACAAGGCTTCAGACGTCTGCAGGCCAGGGAATTCACCTAGTGGCAGTTCAGGAGACACACTGGCGTGGAGCTCTTGAATATAACACTGGTAGATTTATGGCCATACACAGTGGCATGCCCAAAGCTGAAGCTGGTTTACTTGTGCTGTTGGACACCCACACTTTTCCACCACACACCGTGCAGCATCGAGAGCTTCTGCCAGGACGCCTCTTGCATGTCAGGATTGAGGCTGATCCCAGCATTGACTTGGTTGTTGGCTATCAGTATGCCTGGTCTGTACCTAAGCAAACCTCTGCCCGAGCCGTCACCAAGGATAGGTTACTCTCTAAGCGTTCCGAATTCTGGGCCCAGCTGGCGTCTCTTCTGCAAAGTTTGCCGCTCCGCAACCAGGTGTTGTTTCTGGGAGACCTGAATACCAGCTTTAGCACCGAAGGTTCCATGGTCGGTAGAGGGATACACCAGCGTCTAGGTAGTCATGCCCCAGATGCCTCCACGGCGCAAGATCTGCTTAGGACCTTTGACCTTACTGTGCTTAGTAGCTGGGGCACCTCTGGCCGTAGAGCTTGCACGTACATTCCGGCTACAGCCACTGGACACAGTCAAATTGACTTTGCCATCATGCGGCGATGCTCCGCTGATCAGATTGCACGATGCGTGACTCCTGTCACTCTCCCCTTCGTGCCCACCACAGGTATGCGTCACTTGCCGCTGCTTGGTAGCATGTCTCCGCCTCGTAGGCCCACTGCCAAACCTGCCCCACCCACGATTTCCCGACGCCGGGTCCGCGACTTATGTCTACAACACCCCACCCTTCCAGACAGATTTCGCCACGAAGTGGGCCTCCTTGCCGATGCCCAGCCGGCTCTCCCTGCGAGAGAACTGCTCATGCAATCCTGGAAGGCGGCCACTGCCACACTGCCACGCGGGCTGCCGCTTGCACCGCGTCTGACCGATGACCAGCCGGTCCTGCGCTTATGGCGCTTGCGCACCACCATCCGCGAACTTACGCCCCGCTCCGCTGCTTGTTCCGCCTCTGGCATTGCAAGTCTGCACTGCAGGTACATCAGCGAGAACTGAAGCGCATTTGCAGGTCCAACAAGAAGCTTCGATTTGCCAGGATGCTACAAGAAGCCTCGGACGCAGCCCCCGGACTGCAAAGGGTCTATCAAATCCTACGAGCCTTTGCACCCAAAACACCCAAGCGCAAGCTTCAGCTTCGGGCGGCCAATGGGATGCCACTCTGCATTGCGGACACTGTGGCAACCATTCGTAGTTTCTACGATGATCTTTATCATCAGCCACTCGCGAACATGCCTCACATGCACCCGCCTGACCATCCCCTGCAGATTGAGCTAGGGGAATTCCAGGCCTCTTTGGCCACCCTGCCGGCTGGCAAGGCATTGCCTCCTCATGAGGCTCCTTCCCTCCTCTGGAGGCTTGCCTCCGACACTTTGTCAGGTCGTCTTCTGCCTGCTGTCAACCACTGGTTGGCACACATGCCTCTCCCCCCACCTTCTGAGTGGCACATCGCCGACATATGCCTGTTGCCCAAACCTCACAAGCCCGTGGCGGGCCCAGAAACATTAAGACCCATTTCATTATTGCACCCGGTAGCCAAGGCTCTTGCCACCATCATCAATGGTCGCATCAAGCCTCACCTCCTGGCGCTGGTAGATGGCCTTCCCCAGTTTTCATATTTAGAAGGACGTTCGGTGCAGGATGCCCTCGACCGGGCCATGGCTCATTGCACCAGAGTGCGTTCCATTCTAAATGCGCAGCGGCAGAATGTTCATCTTAAAAAGCAGGGCCACACTCCATCTTCTTGCCGAGGAGGGCTCACCTTATCGCTAGACCTCCAGCAGGCTTTTGACCTCATGCCTCGTGACCGGCTCCTAGAAGCCATGCAACTTGCGGGTATAGACTACAGTCTACAGTATGCCATCATGCAGTTGCACCTACATGCGCAGATGCGAATCACGCACGGTGGTCAGTCTGCTGCCATCGACACAGCTAATGGTGTCAGACAAGGGTGTGGCTTAGCTCCCTCATTGTGGTGCTTGTTTACGTGTCTGATTCTTCAACATGTCAGCACGCAAGTTGCGCTCTCCGACACTACTGCCTACGCCGACGACTTTTTGTTTCAATGGATAGTAAATACGCCCGCGCAGTTCGATCAAGCCTGCGAGCATATTTCCTTCATACTTCGCACTTTTGCACATTTTGGCATGAAGGTCAGCCACACCAAAACTGTGGTGCTCATGGCCCTGAAAGGCCCTCTGGCTGGATCCACTGCGCGGGCGCACGTCCGTAGAGACCCGCAGAAAGGCAAGTGTCTCAGAGTTGCGCTTCACGATAGGATGCAGGGACTAGCAGGCAAATGCTCCTATATGTTATTGCCTATCGTTGTGCATCATACATATTTGGGGGCCAAGCTTAGCTACGCGCAGCCCGAAGCTTTAACAATGAAGGAGCGAATGCGCCACTCGTGGGCGGCCTTCAACCGACTGTTGCCAACGCTGAGGACGGCCGGACTGTCCCTTCAGCAGAGAGTGCAAGTGTGGAGAACTTGTGTGTACACCTGTCTCCTGCACAGTTTGGACAGCGTGGGATTTGCGCCAGGCGGCGCCTCGTTGCTCCGCAAGCATGTGGTGCGACAGCTACGCATTCTGACGCATGAAACTAGTGAGCAAGTCCTTGGTAGACTAGGTGTCGTAGATCCGGTCAAGCATCTTGCTCAGCAGGTTCAAAGTAGACTTGAATACTGTCGTCAGGGGAGCAAAGCTCAGCTGCAACCGCCGCCTGTCCACAGATGGTGGCAACAGCTAGAAGCCTGCATGCTGCACGCCCAGACTGACCCTGGGCTGGTGAAACACACTGACGCGCTTAAGGCCCCTACTCGCCTGGTTGCTGTTGCCAAGCCCCTGGACCCTAAGCCCTGCCCGGTCTGTGGTCTCTACTACCCCGACATGAGGACCCTGCGCATTCATATGTCCCAAAAACATGTGAGTGAGCAGCTTGTTCAGCCCAGAGTCAGGCGTGCGCAAGCAGAGATGCGTCGTGATTTTATGAAGCATAGCTTGGCAGGCATGCCAACGTGTCGCCATTGCTCATGGCAATTCACAACCTGGCCGTCGTTTTGTCAGCACTTCGAACGAGAGCGCTGCACAGTCCTACATGCGCAGCTAGACCAGCCCCGACCTGCACCCAGCCCGGAGGTGACTAGTTTGACCTCTAGGCAAGACCCCCTGGTTAAGCACATAACTCACGGCCCAGTCCAGCAGAGCCCTCGGACTCTGTCCTGCATGTTTCCGGCGACTGCACCTGACCTGATCGAAACGGTGCTCAAATCTGACTGGCAAGCTGTGGCTGCAGCTGTTCATGAAACTGACATGCACCACTGCCCAGTTTGCAATCAGTGGCTTGCGCATGTAGGCTACTTGTCGCGACACATTAAGTCCCAACATGCAGAGATCCATCATTTTCAGCCGGCGGTGACCGTGTGGCTCCAGCAGAAGCCCACGTCGGTGCTCAGCCCCTGTCAGTTCTGTGGTTTAGACTACAAGGCTCGCCACTGTAGCCGCCCGCGCCACACGCAGTCTTGTCCGGCGCTTTACAGAACGGGTCTTCTGATTGCCTGTCTGCAGCATCTTCGGCAGGCCCAGCATGGAGGCCCCGAACCAGCCGATCCCCACGGAGGCGGACCTCATCTCGGCGGAGGCTCAGATGAAGCTGATGCAGAACATGATGGCGACAGCCACGGACCCCAAGCAGCTGGGGACAGCCATTCCCAGCGGACCGGCGGGGCCCTCTCGGGGAGTTTGTGCGGGCCTCGCCGAACAGCACGGAGGCACCCTCGCGCGGTACTTCCTCACAGGACAGCCAGGGCCCCGCGGAGATGGACACTTCCTTCAGGGACAAGAGGGCAGCTGCAGAGGGAGACGGGGAGGAGCCGACAGCGACTGGCAGGCCTCGTCTGGCGCTAGAGACCGCGGAGGATCAGCCGGATCACTCGGGCAAAGGGTACCAGAAATGGCCCCGCCTGGACTCCAAGGGCAACACAAGGGAATCCAGAGATGGTTTCGACTGGCAGCGCGACCACCGCGATCAACGCAGCCGACCTCGCCAAGCACGCCAGCCCAGCTATTGGGGAGGTGCCCGGAGATCGGAACGATCCGACCGTACCGACAGGAACGAGCGCTCCCGCGACACGGAGCAGGCACTGCTCAACCTCTGCTCGGCGCTGACCAATCTGAGCCTGAGGCACGAGGATCAGATGTCCATCAACCGCTCCCAGTCGAACTACATTATGTTCCTGCAGACCAAGGGGATGCTCACTGTGGTGCCGGAGATGGTCAAGGGTATCCAGACATGGAAGGAGGCCAGAGAGCAACAGCCAGGAACCATCACGCTTCCTCTCCGGACTTTCCTGATGGGGAACTGGCTGAAGCTGCTGCGCACCCGCTTCGAAGCCTGCCTGGCTACGGAGGAAGCCCGCAAACAGGCTATGGAGATGCTGGTTCTGGATCCCTCCGGAGCGGTCCCCTACCTGGAGTGGGATGCACAGGCCAAGGCCATGAAAATCAAGAAGGACCGGGAGCCCATGACTCCCGACCAGATCCTGGAGCTCGTTCGCCAGATGGAGGCCATGATATTGGCCCCGCATGGAATCATGCGGTTCCACGCGACGAGGAAGCTCAGCTGGAATGTTTCGGGGGAAGTCGTCCCTATGATGCTGGAGCTGGGAATCCGGACACAGGAAGCCCACAAGCTGTGGGAGAGCTTCGGACGATTGAGTCACAGCGGGGCGACCAGGGTGGTGTCCACCTCCTTGAGGGGAGACAAGATGGGGCGATCGGCCCTTGCCAACACGGTGCAGAGGCTCTCCGGAGAGCTGTCCGGATGCTCAGGTTACGCAATCTTAACAATCACTGCTATAGCCATGCGGCGATAAGCATCCTGTGTTGGTTTTGGGCCACTACCTCAGGTCGGGTGGCCGCTGACTTCCTCGGCAGGGGTCTGAGGCAGATCTGCCAGTGGCTTTGCACACGCCAGCCTGGAGCCTCGATTGCGCTCTGGCAGCACATTGCATGGCGTGCTTTGCACAGTGGTTGGGCGGAGCCACACCGCCAGCACGATGTGTTCGAGTATTTAGGCTACCTTAGACCTAAGCTGGGTTCGGATGTCACACTAGGCCGGTGGCAGTGTCGTCAAATGCAAGATGCACACATCACATTGCTTGACGAAGGCACCACGTGGCCTCTGCTCTTGCCGGCGCAGCTGTCCGCGCTGGAAGCTCGGACAAACGCTGCATTGACTTTGCAGCACTTGGTGGATGAGTGGGAGTGCTCTCAGGCTGGCCTACACGGCATGACACATGCGCCTGTAGCCTTGCTGGTCCAGATCAATAGGTTTGAGGTTAGTCCCGAGGGTACCCTAAAGGTTGCAACGTCGCTTCAGCCGGACCCCTACCTCATGATACCCACTTTCCTGCACGATCTGGACCATGCAGCCCCGCTGGCCCTGCAGTACAGGCGGTACTGCCGAGTTGCCGCGATTTTGCATCTAGGCGACAGTCCACATGCCGGTCACTATAGAGCCATACTTTATGGGGATATCCTAGGTGACTTCATAACGGATGATAACCAGTGTGCTGCCCTGCTCAGCCCGGAACAAGCTCTCAGGTACCAGCCACAGCTTTATGCATTCCTTTACAGGCTCTGTGACGTGCACTAGTCTTGGATAATAGTTAGCCCCTCCCTCCTGCAGCCGTACAGCGAGGTCCAGATTTGCCTTCCTTAGGTGTGAATGCATTCTGTAGCTTCATCATGTTTTCCATAGTCAGCTGCTGGCTCCTGCTCACAGGGTCTTCGGACCGAGGAGTCATGGAGAAAGAGGGGTGCACCAACAGGGATCCACAACCGATTGGATCGCACTAAGTGCCGGGGTGGCGACCCTGCCAAGCTACGCGGCTGAGCAAGGTTCGACTTTGCTGCGTCCGGAAGAAAGTAGTAGTAGTAGTAGTAGGAGGAGGAGGGGGAGGAGGAGTCGTGGTGGTGGTGGTGGTGGTGGTGGTCGTGGTAGTAGTGGTAGTAGTAGTAGTAGTAGTAGTAGTAGGAGTAGCAGTAGCAGTAGCAGTAGCACTGCGAAGGCGGCCAGTAAGGCGCTCAGCTCGGGCTGGGTGCGGCCAGCCTTGGCGCCCCGACTGGGCAGCCAGTGGCGGCCGATCTTGGCCTTGGCTAAGGAGCTAGCCCCTGCGCCCTCTAAGGACGCT